GCACAAACACGTCGCATTAAGCTGACTCATCGGACATCGATTGTCTGCACCGCTTAGTCAGCGTAGCGACCAATCATGTGACGACGCGCCCACGTTTACGCACTGGGACCTACATAAAGAGAAACCAGACCCAGTCAAGACACACAGACTCGCGCGCGCGCAGGCAGCAGGACGTCAACCTCTCCACAAGTCCACAGACGATCATGGAACACGTGTAGCAGTCTAACTGCGGAGAAAAACACGTCCCCGCCGTCCGGACTTCCACCAAGAGACTCTCATATACGATAAGTTCCCTTTTTGACTTCCTCTCATTTCGCATTGTATTCATTTTTATACGTGTCGCAGAAATACTAAAAGCTTTTATTAGTGCACATTCACCTTCTGATTTGTATTATGGCTGTCGCCACCTGTGCACTAACAAGTTCCACATCTCATAAAAAATTTTCGAGATAAACTGTAGGGAACCAGAAGGGTAATTAACTAGTCCAAGTACATGAACTGAGAAACAGAACCAAACGGATAATCTCACTACGACTGTTTTACGACAACTAACATAAAAAGGCCTGTCACAGTATACTACTGAAAACCATCTGCGGGAGGATGCGCTAAGCCTCCCCGATGTCCTTTGATCGAGTAGGTGGGTCATTGTGACCCTCTCCATTAACTTGGGCTTTATTCCTGTGAAGTGTTTAGCTGTCGAGGTACCGCTTGGCCGAGTGTCTGAGTTATAGTGGGATTTTTCATTCGACGACCGAAATAAGGAGAGGTACTGAACTGGAACTATCAGTCGGGTGCATGCGTGAGCCTGTAAACTTGCTTTGTTTGATAATAATCGTATTCCTCGTCCAATGCATGTAGCGGTGTGCGAGTGCGGAGAAGTGGGTGCGTGAGTTGTGTCTGGATTCGACACATTTGGTGGGAAACACACTGGTTACCTACCTTGGGTAACATTACCAAAACTCAATTGGACCGACATCAAAAGAAATAAAAGAAAGAAATAGATGTGTCTGAACTCCTTAAGCAATACGACATACGAGATTATTATAAGATGACATCCCGGTGGACATACGGAATTCAATCTTCCGGGGCGAACCCATTAGGTCGTTCAACGATTGATTGTCAAGCACTGGCAGTGATAGTGTTTAAGCACGTGGCTGACCAGTAAAAGAAACACTTCGAAAAGCTACTCCTAACTGGATTGTTCGAGGTCCCCTCGTCAACATCCAATACCATCCAGTAAGCAGACGTGCAAATTCGAAAGGCCTTTGATTCAGTCAAAGGCAGAGTGGCCGCAATCATTCACGATTAACCACCAGATTGGCCGAGCTGAAGATTCTGTTTTCTAGATTTTCATCAGGGGCTTACACAATAGGATGCAACGTAGAACTTACTAGCGCCCATATTTTACTTCTGGCGCCGGGGTGACAGTAAAGCCATTCATGTTGATCATCCCTTCGGCAACCTGGTCCTACAACATGAATTACGCGAGGTAAATCGGTGGAACAAAACTTACCTCAACATGTCGGTAGTAATAGAGTGTAGAATTTTTGAACACACACCAACGTTTGCCATATTTACTGAGAAGAGTGTTGGATCTTTTCAGCCATAGCCAACCGTTCGACTCGGCTGGAACAAGGTCTTTGAATGACTTACTCCGGTGAGCTGACAAACCAAGAAAAAAACAGACGGCGACCAGAAGGTAAGGATAAGGGTTTTGAAAATCCACTTTTGCAGTGTTTGATGATACATACGATAGCAAACGACCAATGAAACTGAAAGGTATGTGGTCGCGAGAAGCCCACTTCAGACGACAACGAATGCCAAGGCGCCAGACCACAACAGGAAAGAGGATTCTGGTAGGGTAAGAAATCTAGTGAATAGCTCAACCTAATGAACAGAATCTGATAACTTGAAATGGAACTCAGAGGGAGAGAGAGACGAGATGCAAGAGAAAACCAATAATTCAGTAGTAGGAGCAAGATGGATCAAGTGGTTAGGGCGCGAGTTTACTGACCGGAAGGTCGTGGTTCGATACTCCGGTGAGCTGACAAACCAAGAAAAAAACAGACGGCGACCAGAAGGTAAGGATAAGGGTTTTGAAAATCCACTTTTGCAGTGTTTGATGATACATACGATAGCAAACGACCAATGAAACTGAAAGGTATGTGGTCGCGAGAAGCCCACTTCAGACGACAACGAATGCCAAGGCGCCAGACCACAACAGGAAAGAGGATTCTGGTAGGGTAAGAAATCTAGTGAATAGCTCAACCTAATGAACAGAATCTGATAACTTGAAATGGAACTCAGAGGGAGAGAGAGACGAGATGCAAGAGAAAACCAATAATTCAGTAGTAGGAGCAAGATGGATCAAGTGGTTAGGGCGCGAGTTTACTGACCGGAAGGTCCGTGGTTCGAACCCGACCTCTGCCACTCGACTTCCCCTGTCTAGGCTTGGGCGACCTGGCAGTATCTCAGCCCTCGTACCTCCTTCGTGTGGCATGGCAGCTAGGCATCGAAAGAGTGCTACAGCCGAACGAATATTCGTTTTCGTATGTCTGCCACATCGGACTACGCAGCTGATGCCCACCTACTGTAGGCCAAAGCAGCGTACCGCGAGAGACTACCCACCATACCGTAGTTCCAATGCGAATACTGCCATTTCACAGAAAGCACTAATTTTTTCATGCGTTTTTCTGGCAAGCGGCAAAGTTAGCCGTTTCCACAGACAGCGACTACGTCTCTGAACCATACATTAGGACAGATAGGGCAGCAGCGTTTTACAATCTACCCTTGACAGTAAAGTTGATATCACATCGGCGCTACAGATGTCGGAGTTTCACAAACGCCACCATGGTCTTCCAAATTCAGAAAGTGATTTCGTCTCCAGCAACTCTGCCGAAACGCGCGCAGCTACCCAAGTAAACGAACTTATCTATCACATCGATCGGTTTACGTGTAAGCATGAGATCTGGGTTTGATCGCGCTCCATCTAAAATATAGAAATCTGTACCTCTCAACGACCGGAGCAATCATGACAAATCACGATAGAAGATGCCCTTTTCAGCCTCAGAGCTGTTGCTAACAGAACAAACAAACACCGTTTACCACATCGGGATGTTGACTGAATCAGCCAAAGATTGTTCACTGGAATATAGTCCAATAAAGCCCTGAGACTAAGCACAACACCCACACTGTTGACATCACGAGCCATTGCACCAGGATCACCAGACACCGCAAGAGTAAAGCACAAGGAATTTATGTTCGACCAGATGAATTAAGTAAGGGTTAATAGTGTGCAGAATATGAGGTGCGGAGCAACGGTTAGGTGACTCACAGCCGAATGGAGTGGAAAGTGGGTGAGAGCAGAGTGGAGAGGAATCAGTGAGTGAATAGCTGTAATGGTGAATGATGCTTTCCGGCTGCCCAGACCAAAGAAGGAATCCCCTACCTTGAGTCGTTGGCTCAAGCCTGACTCACAAGGCAGTGAGAGAAGGAAGGTTTTTGTTCAGGGACCCTGTCCCTAGCCTCTGGCTCAAGAATCTGGACCACAAGACAGCGTTTGTTAAGGTTTCCTCGTGGAAACCAATGACTCGACAATATCAAACATATGGCCGCAGGGGATCAGCCTGACTGGGGGGTGCAGTGAGTGAGAGATTACTGTCTGACTCAGAATACGGCTACGCTCAGCAGGTGGTTTTTGAGCAGCGCAAGTCTGGTTGCTTCTAGAAGTATTTCGATCGTACTGAATAACGCGCCGATGGTCACGGTTAACCGTTGAGCAATCAGAGTGTGCGGTTTTTAGGGCCGACCTTTTGTAACCCGTCTTTCCTCGCAGGAAGGCAGTATCGGCGTATTCATCTCCATGAATACGGACATATTGGTCGCGTAGTAAAATGAGTCGCTGTTCTTCGTCGGGCTGCTCCTCGATAGGTTTCTGAGATGATGGATCCTAAGGATAATTAGTTCCTGCCAGTATAACCCGCAAAACGATTGCAGCATAGAAGCCCGACCACCGCGACATGGTGAAACGCCCGCCAATGCCAGCTCCCTAACTGGGGCCTGAAAGATATGGGTTCCGACTAACTTCTGAATTCCAATAAAGAGGAGCGGTATCGTGTGGCTGAGCTTCAGCGTAACCGAACATGTTTTTTGATAACAGCTAACAACTTCAAGGCGAACACATCAAAAGCCACCCGATCGGAGACCATCAAGTACAGAGTTCCCCCGCACACCTTTGAAAAAGGCCAGTTTGGCGCTCTTTCCGGAAGCGCACTATTTTCGAAGGCAAAGACCTTTGACCCTGTGTCATGCCTGACTGTATCGCCAATCTGTTGTATCTGCTGAGTCGCCAATCTGTTACATCTAACTGCTGTTCCCACTCCAGTGCCAGAAAAGAACTCGCCGACAAGGAACACAACAGCTTTATTGCAACAAGCGAGTGCGTGCGGGCGCAAAAGTTACAACGACCCGCGCCATTTAAAGGGCACCTTTTGACATCGATCCAGGCTGTTCGATTGGTGTTTATTGAAAACCCATCAACATGCTTCTATGAAACGCCTGAACGCTGATAGCATTCGGTCGTGTTTCTGTGGCGTGCCCGAACACGCATCAGCTTTCTCTGAATTGATTGATTGACTGGCCTGAATGCTTGCCGGCATCCCTATTGAGATTTTGGTGGGGTTTTAGGGTCCCAGTAGGTTTCGGGCGTTCTAGCATTACTTTTAGGAATCTGACCTTCCTGATAATCTGTGATTACAAAACTTCCCTGAACAGTTCCAATTAGTATGGATGAAAAATAAATGTCACCACAACAATGGTCGGCAGCGATACACAGCGGTAAACACCAGAACTTAACTGTCATATCACTACGAGAAACGATCCTGGCGATGAGTTGAAAGGAATGTAAAGGATCAAGGAATTACCGTACTACAACCCTATGTCCTTAGGCAATATGATCAAGGATAAAGTGCCTATATCTTCAAACAGTTGTTTTAAATTCACTCAGGTGTTGGAAACGTCTTAGTTCCATCATTGAATTGCACGCTCCTTGTCTTCGAAGAAAGTGTGCACCTGGGCCTAATTGCTCCTGGAGCTGCTAGTGATAGACCTAATTGTTTGTTACCTGGTTGCCCATGGTCGACAACCCTTACGCTATGAACAGGTACTGCTTTTGGTTCTTCGGGCCATAAAAATTGTCGAACTAAGGTCCGAAGTGAGAACAAAGTGCATCCAACCGTGAGGTACTAAGAGTCGGTGAGGAAACCGATACATGTCTACGAGTGTGCTGTCCTGGTTCTTCATAATTTCATCGTACAAGGACGGCGTTGCTGGTGTTGTATGGACTGCCAATGTTCAAAACCTATTCGTGTTATGCGGAACACAAGCCCCGATACGCATAGCGTGCTGTCGTATACCGATCCATCAGCGTTAACTGGTGTGTGCAACATCCAAGGAGGTAAACGTCACAACCAACACTCACTAGCTGGCTACTTGCGTTATCGAACCCCGGTCGTTTTTAGAAGTGCCCCTTTGCAGTATTCTCGAAAGTACTCTATCTTTACAGTCGCCCTCGTGGAGTCCGCACTGTACTGGATCCCGCAAAACACATCAGCTCCAGAAGCAAATCTGTACACCGTTATTACTTCACCCCATTTCAGACTTTCGTCACAGAGTCCTGCCACGTGCCTCTTTTTGAGGTTTGCAGTTCACTGTGGACAGTGTTAGGTCTGTTTGACAAGCAACAAAAGAGGTCCCGTTGATGTTTTTGAGTACAACGAGACCATTATTGGGTTTTCAGATCGTTCAGTGTCATGCTCTGAGAAATTCCTCCGCCGATTCGTCTCATTTACGGATAAGCAAAGACCTGAGAATGAAAGGCAATGATTAGTTCCTTGCGTGTGAACGGCACTAGACTTTTTTGGAACTCCAACCTGTTTCTCAACAAGGCGCATCATGTCTGCAACAGATGGAGAGCTTGTGGATAAATTTTCCCATCACGATGTTCTGTAGCTACTTCAATAACATACCTGTGAGTAACGTCTTAGAGACCAGTCCATGGAAGAAATTTTTTCTTGAAGAAATGGTTCACTACTAAGTTAGGGAGGTCTGTTAAAAGAGAGTCTGTGTGGACTGAATAAATCAGGATGGTAGTCCCCTCGTCCGTATGATTTACCTGAACCCAAATGGGAACCCAAAATGATCACGTGCATACTAAGCTGTATAGAAGTTTAGCCTTGACGAGAGACCTAACCAAATCTCTCGTTGATGGTCCGCATAAACTGATTGTACTGTTCAAGTAGAACATGAGGTTGATGGAAAACCAGGGGCTCCCGCTACCTGATTGGCTATCGAAGAGTTTCTCGGCAATCTTATGAGTAGTGTGCTGCGTCTAGATAATTCATTGCGATATCCATTCGAAGATCATCATAGACGAGAGATTCACCTAGATTCGGCTAATTCTCTCATCAAAAACAAATTAGAATGTAAGTGAGAATGTCTGAGGAAATCAGTACGGGGTCAGACACCACCGCCCAACAAGTGACATGTTAGCCTGTGTCACAAGTCACTTTATTGTCTCAGAACGTAGTCAGTGAAACAGAACTGGTCGATTTTGATATTTTGACGGCATTCGGTTGTGTCTGGCATGCAGGCCTCCATGTATGTTTCATATCCCAAACTGGTCAACCCGACTGGAAGTGTACTGAGCAACCGCTCCATTCCAATGTGTTTTGACAGCACAATCCCTGGACTCAGAGCATCAGCACAGGATTCGCTTCAACATCGGTTCGTACAAAACTTGCCGTACTGTGCCACTGTTATCTACTCAAGGGACACAAAAAAAGAATGTGTCAAAAAGGTCGGGCTTGGAGATGGCTGATCCGAGGAGAATATCGATATAAACTGTAAACTGAGAGCCCAGTTCAAGTAACTAAAGTACCTAAAAAGACGTACCTCTTTGAGTGCCTTACACAGAGATCACATAATGGACAGGTTCCGCACGCGAACTTCTCTCAGCTTTGGCATGTGCCCACCCACTTAATCATCTCCGTTTGTTCTCGCTAAATAGAGCTACGGGGATCGTGAAAACAGGTGGCCTCAGAACTCTTTTTCCCAAAATTTGTGAGCTCCCGTGAAGTTGCGGCGACATCTTCATCAACAGAGGGAGGTGACTGGTCCACAAAAGGTCCAAACACATTCCAGTGACTGAGACGATGTGGTGAGACAACAGCACCTGAATCCAGGGCAGAAGACATTCGTCGTCGAATGTAAAGTACTAATCCACAGTGGTTGACTTGATGTTTGAGCCGTGACGCCCACTATGCCATCATTGTACCCAACCTTGTTTGTCGGACGCACGCAACTAAAGTGTATGAATGGAAGCGTACCAACACTTGTGCTATCTTTCTTGCTCATCTGCTTCTACCGATGGACAGCTTGGTCAAAGCTAACACTTTCGTTTTCGAGAATACAACGCCTAAATCACTACGGGCAATCTCGATCAAGTTTCGATTCACTTCTTTGTTCTTCCTCTCTGGAACAATCCACCACGTTCTGTATCCTCAGAATCACAAACTCCAGGTCTGTGAACGAAGACCTCATCCCCCCGATTCAAGTTCTGTAGACGGTACCAGCCTATGGGTCTCTGTTCATCTGCAATACATCTCGGTGTGATAAAAACCAAAAAAGTACACAAGTGAATAAATAAACAAACAGGCCAAAGTGCAGTTGACTCACTTAATCCAACCACCTGCTTCGGCATACTGTCCACACTACCCATACAGGGCTACAATGAGAAAACGGCGAGCAATGTGAGACGCCGGTTAGCAAACAGGATGAACAGGACAGGAAAAAAACAAGCTCAACCTGATTCATCCTTGAAATGAAGCAGTTCCGTTTTGCAGTAGTTACGAAACTGTATAGTGCGCAAAAAGGTGGCGTTTGTCTTGTTTCACACGGCGCTGTTTTTCTGGCGGATTTTCGACTACAAAGACTGAAGATAAAATTCCAACTAAGCAGCTGACTTCCCCTGCACTTCTGTTGGGTTTGGGGCCCAGTAATTGCTATTCTCTACACTTGGCAGACCTAAGGCAACCAAGAAGGAAATCAAGCGAGGGAGGACGGTTGCTATGAGTCGATGATGGAGAAAGTGGTCTGTTGCGAAGGATTCGTTTCTTACTTCAACAAGGATCTTTCTTATACCACCTGCTCAGTATGGTTGGTCTGTACAGTGTATTGACACAGGCGCAGCGCAACAATGAATAGTATAAACTAGGTAGACAGATTTTTGTCCCATTACTGTCGACGGCTGTCTCCTCATCAACACCTATATAGACGGGCTACATTGAAAGAAGTGAAAAACGCATGTTGGGTGAAGTGGAGGTAACAGTGAACGCATCTATTGGTACAAGTCGGATGACCTACTCGACTACGCGTTCGTTTGTCCAACGCCTGCACGATGGGAGCGGTTGTCCTTCGACCAGTTTCCGAACGAACTGACCTGGTTTCGGCCTGATCTGAAAGGATAAATCCCCATTTGCAATAAACTGTGTTCCCGTTGAAGTCAAGATATGCACAGTTATCTCTAGAAGGAAATATCCGTGTTAGAGAAATCAAGTTGAGTTCGAATTTGACAAGCAACGGTCGATCCAAAAAAAACAAATCCCATAAAATGTTAGAAAACAAGCTAATCTGTTTCGACGAATCACCACTATCGGAAACAATCGAACGAGTAGCGAGGGTAGCTTCAAAAGCCGGAACTGCTTGTTCTTGAAATAAGCCTCCGGATGATTCTGTGCTATGGCCCTCAGAACAGTACCTGAACTTCATGCTTAAGCACGTACGCCTTTTACTCACGAAGTTGGTTTGCTTCTGATGTGGAATTTTGACGACGCACCGCGAGCCTTACTCTGACCTGAAACAAACATTTCATCGTATGGCTCAGATTTCCAGGCATTTGCAGGTGTTCTCTCCTTTCACGAAATTTACAGATCAGCACTAAATTACTTATGAGTAGCTTATGACTGAGCCATAAAACTGTCAAAACTGGTCGTAGCGATGGGCTTGGAGCATAGGGATGTCGCAGCGGGGCCTCTGAATAGGAACTTCCCTATCACAGTGATCACTTTATCACCCTCCGAACTATAGTACAGGATATATGGGAAAACTATGAACCAGTAAGGTGGCCGAGGAGTTCGGTAAATCCTACTCCACTGACAACGGAAAAGGCTGGACAATCACACTCCTTGAAAGTTTTGGCCTCGGGCAGCATAAGTTGTTTATCATCAGTGTCACACGACAAACATCTTGAAAACTACCCAACTGACCAATTTGTTCAGATATGCATTTCGCTCTTTTCTATCTGTAGTTGCACTATGAAAACCTGAATGAACGGAGCAACCATATCATCAATCACTTATTGCTGACCTCTTGAAATGATGTCACACAGTGCTGGCCACGAGAAGCGACTATTTTGATTTGAATCCCATTCAAGTTGTGATGCAACGCAAACTTTGTACACCTTCATTGTTCACCTTCATTATCATGTGTTGGAGACTTCAGTGACTTCAGGTAAATGGTTCAGAAGTTGTTTCTGAATAGATTCAAAATGAACTGAGACGTCGGAAATTTGTAGCACGATCATGAAGATCTTCCACAAACTCCAAATTAGGAGAATGATTAAACTGCTGTGATAGAGGTTAAGAGAGGCTGGCTACGTATAAGCCGTGTACAGGCACCGGTAGGTGCTCGTTTGGTCAGCTTGTTCTTTAGGAAATCACGGTGTCATATCAGGACGTGTGCAGTCCCTCCGTTATAATTCTCCTTATATTCACGATGATGAACTCATGAAGGAGGAGTGCTAACAATCCCAACTCTGACTCGTCAACAACATCAAAGGATCTTCCATCGATATCACTGGCTTTTGTGCAAGAGAAGATACCAATGGAAAGGCTTTATTTGGGCCATTGCTGACTCGAGGACTTGTTCCACCGGCATACATGGTTGTGAGCACTTCAGATGGTCTCATAGCAGCTGAGGGAAGTATGAATTATCATAGTGATCAAAGACTTGTCGTGGATGACAAAATCCGTGCTTTCCTTCCATATCTTGTGGGATACGTTAATCAGATGAGGGTTCCAGATGGGCAAATTTAGTTGTTCCTCATCGTAGGTCTTAAGAATCACAAAGCATCACATCAGTAAGACTTACACTACAATCTAAAATGCACTCTATCCGGATATCTACCTGGAGAAACAAATTCTCACGATCACTTTGGCGCTACTTGAAAAGGCTCTGAATCTATACGATACCTTCACCCTGGCCGATATCAATGATCATATGCCAAGACAATTCAAGCGACAGGCGATTTTGGCTTGGACGTTGTCATATTTTGTTGGCTACAAACCCGGTTGATTCCAAATGCTGTTACTTGCTGGAACTCTCTGTCAATAAACAGCCCATCTTCGTTGCTCCAGTACACAGACTAGCTGGCATTGGAATAACTCCCCCATGAGGCTGCTCTTCCAGAATAGATATGAACCATGTGCAGCGAATAGAGCAGAATCCTGGAAGGACGACCTCCAACAAGGATAGGAAACGTAGTTTGTTTGTGACCTCCTCCTCTTACGGAGGTACGAACGGTCGAAAGTGTCATGAACAAGTGTGACGTCTTTGGCCACGAAGAACGGATGTCATACTTTTGGCTGGAGATCTGCACAGTGATAAGATGTTTCAGTCCCAGTGAGTACCACCTCTCATGGACTAGAAGATATCCGAGAGGATAATGGAAATGGATTTTCAAACGGCTGTTCCTAGGCGATGTAAGTTTCAAGGATCGCAAGCAGGCCCCTTGGCGTCCCCAACCAGTAACTCAGCAATCAGCTTACATTGACCACCTCCGACACCTACAGCGGTGATATGGTGTAGATACTTACTTGGAAGGATGAATGTGTTATGCATCGATGAGGATGATAGTGCTGCACCGAAGCGAGAGTTCGCCACTCATTACGTCGAGTTTTACGAGACAAACGGAACCCAACTTGATCGGCTTGGCCATGTCTCGATAATGCGACCTTGCTGCCTATTTCAGAGGTCTCTGCTCTGCTTGGAAGAAGGCCCAGCAACAACGTGGAGGAATGACGGATTACAGTTAAGCTATTCCCGGGTTGACTTCTTTGGTGCGTTCACAGACTTTGGCGGAGACTGGAGTGCTTGCTGTCCAACCTTATCATCATGAGATTGTTTTAAACCCGTTACACCGTTTTCTGAACCTACTCAAAGTCGATGTCACATACTGTTTGTTCTACTGTCTGGCACAATGTCCACTCCAGGGGCCAGTAGACAATATAAAGAACAAATATAATGGTTCATCTGTAGCATGCTATCGGTAGCTGAACAAACAAGTCTAGACAGAAGCAGTCGAGATGCGCAGGGCGGGTTTGAACCACGGATCTTCCAGTCCGTGAGTTTCCGCCTTAACCATTGAGCCATCTCGAGCAGTATACGGTATATACAATACATATGTACAATATAAATGGCACAATGTCCACTCCAGGGGCCAGTAGACAATATAAAGAACAAATATAATGGTTCATCTGTAGCATGCTATCGGTGCCTAGCTGAACAAGTCTAGACAGAAGCAGTCGAGATGCGCAGGGCGGGTTTGAACCACGGATCTTCCAGTCCGTGAGTTTCCGCCTTAACCATTGAGCCATCTCGAGCAGTATACGGTATATACAATACATATGTACAATATAAATATACTTTAATAAATATATATTGTATACATATATAAATGGGGCGAGATGGCCCAAGTGGTTAGAGCGCGAATTAACTGACCGGTTCGAATCCGACCTCCGCCTCTCGACTTCCCCTGTCTGGGCTTGGGCAACCTGGCAGTATCCCAGCCCTTGTGCAACCTTCGGGTGGCATGGCAGCTAGGCACCGGAAGGGTTCTACAGCTGAACGCTTTCTTTCTCTTTTCGTTTATATAAATAACACACCCAATATATGTATAAATGAACAAGAACAAAACACTGGATCTTCGCAGACGGAAGAAATTGTAAACGATAACTTACCAGCATCTTTGGCGGGCGACCATAGTGTGGGGCCTCCAGAAGCTGTCCGCCGATGGGTCAGAGTAAAGCGGGAAAACAGGCCCTTGCTGGGTGTGGAAAGAGATGACCTGAATTGCAAAGAATTATTCCTTTCAGCCCCGGATCTACAGAACGAATAGGGAAAATTCCGTTTTGCCTTGCAACATACAGAAAAAAGGCGAAGGAGAAAAGCCGAAAAGATCCCAGCTAGGCCTGAAACAGAAATTATTATTAAATAGGATATATCGTATGATGTTCAGGCTAGAAGTACTACAGGCCCCGCTAACGACTGATAGTCTTCAAACATTAGCTGGGGTGGGGATGTGAATTCGAGTCTGTCTGGAGATTCATGAGACGCGCACTGTGGATGATTCTCATTAAGAATGAAACAACTCCACAGCGATTCTCTGTCTTCGGTATACATTAAATTCATCTACGGGTCGGAGCCTCGATTCAAAAGAAAACTAGCAATAGTTGCTTCTACCCGGCTGGGAATGCCAAAAGATCGTTCAGTTGTAACACCCTTCTGGTGCCTAACTGCCACGCCACCCGAAGTAGGCACGAGGGCTGGGATACTGCCAGGCTGCCCAAGCCTAGACAGGGGAAGTCGAGAGGCGGAGGTCGGATTCGAACCACGGACCTTCCGATCAGTAAATCCACGGCCTAACCACTTGAGCCATCTCACCCACGTTTTACGAGTGCAACTGTCACCAATATGTTCTGTCACTAATGGAACAAGGGTGGTCTATTTTTGCGTTCCTTTTCAACGTGTCTTCCGTTGATATCCAAAGGGTGCCAGCATCTACGGAGCTGAGATCTACCTAGTTATACAAATAGTGGATTTGGAGTTCACAGGTGGGTGACAGCAATGCTACACCAACTGGTGATCAAGGTATAAGATTCCGTGCGTTTTGCGCCCTAAAAACAGGTCCGGTACTTTTCTACATGGGGGGGCGAGATGGTTCGGAGTGGTTAGAGCGCGAATTTACTGACCGTAAGGTCTGTGATTCGAACCCGAAATCTGCCTCTCGACTTCCCCTGTCTAGGCTTGGGCAACCTGGCAGTATCCCAGCCCTCGTGCAACCTTCGGGTGGCATGGCAGTTAGGCACCAGAACGGTGCTACGGCCGAACGATTTTTTTTATCTGCTATCATCCGAGGACGTTAGAACGAGAAACGACAGGTAGATTCACGTACTTCGGAAGTTGTGCGACTGCCGGTGGAAGCATCGGAAAAAAGGCAGTACCACAAGTATCAGAGGTGAGGCAATCATGCGCTGTGTTAAAATACATTTAGCACCGGTGTGTTGGGAGGGCTGTCTTTGAGAAGCCCAGCCTAAACCGTAATCATTGGCGCAGTATCGTTGAAAGCACCGCTCAACTCATCGCAGTTTGAGCATGTGGAATTCGAACGCTGGAGGCAATGGTTGACGGCTGTCGGAGCCTGATCCAATCTCTCGTCTGGGTTAATATAAGGCATAATAAGTATGATTCGGAATTTCATTCAACTAGAATCGCTGGCGTTGAAGAACACTGAGGTTGACAACTAGACGATTTACTTGAGCTTTATCCGGACAACTCTGGGTAAGGGATGGAAAAATTTCCCCTTCAGAAACCACAAACATCTTTTACACAAGTATGAGCGATACCGATAAGAGTGACCTCAGATCAAAACCTATGGCGTCCTATCAGTTGCGCACAGGAAAGCTAAAACTGTACGACTGGTGTTTGGCAATCACACCGACTAAGAGGTGAGAGCAGAAGAGACCGAGCTCAGGGTTTATCGACCCACAAACTAAACAATAGTCATCCAACCAAAAAAACATCCAATCGTAACCAAAGATAAGCCCCGAAGAGCACCATGTGTATCAAAACATGCGTACCAGTAGTCAACGCTTGCAAGCAAGTTGCCTGCCAACAAGCATTCTCTCCAGTAGGAAAAATTTGCCAGAAACTTCCCGCATTTCGTAGAAACGGTTTCCACAATAACAGCTCTCCATGTTTAAAAGAAACCCCCATAAAAAAAACATTGAGAAACGGTTTCCACAATAACAGCTCTCCACGTTTAAAAGAAACCCTCATACAAAAAACCAGGATAATTACGGAGTGAACCTCCTATTGTGATATGAGAATTCCATGCCGACAAAGTCCCTCAGTAAACGATGGGGAACGCCATACCTATGCAGCATAAACTCCGATCGAGAAGGCAATTTCTTTTAAATAAGTAGCCTCCCCCAAACCGAGCAGGTCATCAAGAAGCCGATTTACTTCCTAACAGGAAACTCCACGATGAAAATTCGGCTTGAAATTAACCCCCAATTTCAGCGGATCACAATTTTAAACAATTTGCCATGCGCACCCCTGTGACAATCTGACTGGACCAAATTTAACTCGGTTGATAAATTTGCCTTTGATAAAGACACAACACTAGAGAGACTTTGCAGATGAGATATTGATAAGGCTGAAGGATAGGATGGAACGATGCAGGTCAATTATCGCGATTCTAATAAATATCAATGCTTGCGCCGTTTTATGGGGACATGTCTTTATGAGGACTTATGGTATTCAGCCATTCTTGTTCACGTTGTGCTAGCTGACGTGGCGTAGTTATCGGACAGGGTTCTTCATGTTGTGCTGGCATGCCACGGGCATGCAAACGCACAGAATCGACCCAGAATGAACTGAAAAGAAATCCATCCGACCTTGAGGAAAGTTGTTTAGCAACCCCGGATAGAAGTGACAACCAAGTGCTCATTGTGTGCTATGGGGCTCTGACAAAACGTCCCGTCGAGAAGATATTCCGGAAAATGTTTCCTAGACAACAATTACAAAATCATCAATAGTTTCATGGCAATCCCTCACTGTCTGAACCTGGGCACTGTGTTGACGTTGACCATACTCCCATACCGTCCGGTTATGTTGAAAACAGATTTGAACAACCCAAACCACTCTAACGATTAACACTGTAAAATTCGCCATTTCAGAAAGTGTTAGGCGGAAATCCACACGGATCCCTCTTCACCACTCGTAGTCAGGTGCTGCTACGGCCGAGAAGTCCATCCCAAGCAAGATTGGCCGAAAAATCGGGACGCTTGCCGGTCCGGCATCAAGCCGAGATCTGACTGATCGAAAGTCTGGACCCGACAGCCAATCATGACCCAGTATTGGCCCAATGCCGGTTGTCAGTGGCGCATCCAGAACGCGTCAGAATTTCCAGAAAGTTATTGCCGCTTACGCTATAGATATAAAGCGCTGTACAGGTGTTCCTGACTTCGTTTTGGGCATTAATATACCTTGTGCACGTTTGGTGGTTGTTTTGACGTGAACGCTAGTTTGGGAGGCTCAGACCGAGAACTAAGCTGAGAAAAGTATCGTTACTACGGCGGTGGAAAGTGCAATCATGGACAGTCGCTATGTTCCTATCCCTAAGGTATCCCAGGCTTCATCTGGCCAGCCATTCTATTCGATAATGACGAACGGACTGTGAAGCAGCTGACCATATTGAAGAAGTCAAGCGGTTTCGCTGTGCGATAGCATTGTCATCACACGGAGCAACGCATTGAGCTTACCTTGGACTGCTTTCCACTGATTCCATATTTGCCCTGAGTTGATATCTGTCCGGACTGAGAGGAGCAGGATTATCACTCTCACTCTTTGCCTTGTATTTCGATCTTGCGTTTAAAAACGGTGTAGACGGAGTACTGGAAGATATTCGACCTGCGGGGAACGATGAGTAGGCAGTCTTGAAGCTGCCACCTGGTGGGGTGTCCGACTTGGCAGTCGCATAGGACAACGTGTCCAGATTGTGAGAACCCGGTTGCAACAACTCATCGTTAAACTGCATTGATGGACACCTCGAAGAAGAAGAGGAAGAGGATTGAGAATAGATAGGTGTCTGAGCTTCAGGAATGGTATTCGAAGCGGCGGACGGAGACAACAAAAGTTGTGGATTGGTCGAGTCATGTGCACTGTCCAGTGGTTCCGAAGCGTTGGGCAGTGCAGCAGCCAACGGAACACGACCGCGGAGGTAGCGTGTAGGCACATTAGTGGGCTCTTGTTGTGCAACGACACGATGTCGGCGGCCTCCACCAGGAAAACCCGAGAAATCAGTGGCATGCATGGGACGTTTTCGTAGCCTCAGTGAAATCCGCTTCGGATATAGACGCATCAGGTCTGCTACCCTGCGATGCTGCCAGCCAATCTAAAAGGCATGTTGAAAAAGGAAGGAGATCTACAAAGTTGTACTCCTGGACTAACACCCCGTGTTATCTATGTGATTCCCTAGTTATACTGCGTACCACACCTTACTTTGGACTTTTCATTGGAATATCGCCCACAGGGACCACTTTAAGCCGCATGATACCATATTATATTGCTTCATTATGGATAACCACTAAACGACAATGCTGGAATGTTCCAAATAAGGCCGGATGTAAGTCGCGCGTGTGGTCGATTCCCGTGCTGGTATTTTAAGCCTTCCACTAGGACAGATCAAGGACCGTTCGTTTCAGTAGTCAATCGGAATGCGGAAAATGCGGAACTACCAAGAATCAGACCAACTGAATTGAAGTAAATAGATATGATGGAACCCAATGTGGTGTTGCGAGAGCCTCCTCTTCATCCAGGTTTTCTCAGCGACCTTGAGTGTATCACGAAATTATAATGGGGAAACTTCCCGGGTGATCAACGAATGACGGCTGTCCGCATGAGCCGGAGTGCTTTTTGCAAACCAACTAGAATGTGCCGCACATCTCCGTACTAGCCCTCTACTTTTGCCAATTGTCAACGACTGGCGTCCAAACCTGAATCGATCATGCGGATTATTCGCCGAAGGTTTCAAGTTGTGAATCATTACGTTGCCTCCAAGAACATTGTATTTTTCCGTCAGTTATTCGAACGGCATAGACACCAGGAAAAAGTTCACTGCCAATCAATGGGAATAAACTAATTCCTACGTTCTAGGATCTCAGTCAATAGGCACCACCTTATACAACTATCTTGGAAGCATGACCTAAAGGAACTACAGTACTCAGTCTATTGAAAACTGTTGTTAGTAGCATCGACAAGCTTGTCGGTTCTTTTCAAGGATCAGAAGTAACGGTGTTTAGAACACCTGTGTGCGCCTACAAACGATCGAGCAGCCTTGGGTTGAACGAGCAGAAGGACGGATCACAAACCCAGACAAATGAGGCACGACGCTCTTATAATCGGAACGAATGAGTATACTAAACCTTAACTTAGTGACGAACCGAGGATTGTCAACCCTGTATTTTTTACCACCTCTGCCGTAGCCTTCTGATGATTAATCACGGGAGGCACCAACTGAAAAGTGAGGAATCCAACTGGCAACTCTACTTCTATCCAACATGGAACTCGTTAGCCTCAAAGGGTTCATGCTGTAGCAAGCACTGGAATTATTCAGACGATGACTGGATCTCGACCAACGGAGAAAATTTGTGTTGTAAAGGTCTAACTCCACTTTGCAACTCTAATGCGAACCGGTGTCAATCCGTTACATTCTGTGAGCCGAGAAAAGCATGCCTTTAATAACCCATAAAAAATCCACATGACCAAGAAAACTGAAACAAAATCCCAAAAGACACCAAAAACTAGTGTGCCCAACGAAACGAATGAAAGCCGATTGAAGGCCAACACTATCATACCTCTCCACAGCACACACTAACTCAGTCTGTCTTTAAATGTACCAGACAGATGATTACAGGACTTGTTCCATTACCTCCAGCCCTCATGGTGAACGACGTTTCCCTTGAAAAAACAATGCTATGAATTACTCAGATACAACATTAGAGTCTGTTGTCTTTTTCATATTTAGGTAGCCTTCATCAAGACGGATGACTGGCCTTCTACATACTCAGAGAGAGACCACAAAGTCTGACTAGAAGGCTTATAACTCCATGTATCCTCAAAAATTAGGTGTGTGGTTTCATCATTCTATTCCCCGGACTCCCAGGCGAACTATCACCTGATCGCAGGGTCACTGAACGAAACAAGTTAAATAGGACAAACGAAAATGACCGAATACTACACGGCGCTACTCGGTACCATATCTCACCGACTCGTGTAAGATAACAGCAGCTGGCAGATACACGACTGCAATGAACAGATGGTTAGCTCCTGGTGCCAATAAAATGACCATAACACCAGGAAAAAGGTACACAGAAAGGAAAACAAGCACACTTACCACAACTTGGTCGTTCACTTCAACCACCTCGTCACCTCTAGTGACTTTTCCTGAACAAAATGCGGGAGACTAGAAAAGTGGAAAAATGCTATCAGCCTTCGAATTTATGAGCGAAAAAACTTCATTTTGATGGCTGTTGTAGTGGGTGACAGAGACAGGCGAATAACCGCAGCGTAACGTGGTTCACAAGCTAGTGGTACACATGGAAGTGAAACTTCCACTTAGTGGTATTCGAAACTGTATGCCTACTACTAGGAGAAAGAGATTGTCTTAGTCAATCCAGCTGCGTATAGTAAGTGTGACAACTAAAGACGTTGGTTCGAATCTCGTGAATCTTCCTCGTGAGCCGGTTGAGCCTCCCGTGGAAACCCAGTTGACGGTATTGGTTTGGTTTAACTTGGAATATGCTAACGAGATTGTCCTAAACTTCGAAAAACAGTAAGGCGCTGAGTGGAGCCATTCCACTTTTCACTAGAGCAATCTCTCAGAATTCAGTCTTGCGACTCAAAGAGAGCCATTTGAAGTTCAGGAGGACCACGTATCGCTAGGACTATATCAAGTCTGATGGAGCATGACGCACTAAACCTAACGGTCAAAATTCCGTTCGCCGACTTGCGCTAATTGGATTCCGTTAAGAGCTATTGTTGCTTCATAATTGTTAATGTTCGGTTGCGAGATGCGGTCCTGGCGAGTGGCTGATTAGAAAAGTCTTCAAGGGTTTGACCATCGGTGTTTCGGAAATACAACCGGAGAAGGCTGAAATAAAGGACTTCAAGAATGAGTGACCAGGGAGTGAGTGATCGGTAAAGCGTTATGCACTTTGATTGAAGAGGCGAAAGACTATATAAGTGCTAGAAGTATTCAACCGCGGAGTATATAGGAATTCTCCCATGATTTGTTGAGAAACGATCGCATGCATTCGACCTTTGTCAAGATTCTACCGTCAAGTGTGATATATTGGCATTAGGCCCCTCTTCTTTTCCTTTTTTCACCACAGAGATTTATGTTAACTAACTTATATGACTGTGTGACGGAGAAGCGCTGGTGCCCTATGCTGGTATTCTGCCAGTGATAATCAAGAGCAGCGGAATGATTACAGTCCATGTATGTCCTCCGGCAAGCTGAAGATAGCAAAGTAAACGCGGTTGCAGTGCCTGCTCAAAAAAGGTTTTGGGTCGAACCATCCAATGGCGTTCCTTCTGTGGCGTCGTATAGCAGCTAGGTGTTAAAGGGATGTGACAACCGAAAGACCAATACGATTGACTAAACATCCTTCTCACTGCGCGTCAACGGGTGTTGTTCGTCTTCCCAAACTGCGCTCAGGTTCCTCCACTCCATAACTGACCGCAATCAAGTAGCTGTCATCCACTGCCTAAAGTGCCAACGTTGGTTATGTATATCCGCTCAGCTGTAGCCCTCTTTCGGTGCTCAGCTGCCATGCCACACGAAGGAGGCACAAGGGCTGGGATAACGTCAGGTTGCCCAAACCTGGACAGGAGAAGTCGAATGGCAGAGGTGGGATTCGACCCACGGACCTTCCGGTCAGTAAATTCGCGCTCTAACCACTTGGGCCATCTCGCATGCTAACCACTGAGCCACCTCGCCCCCTATATATATATATATATATATATGCTGAGCTGACATGCAAAGAATATTAGATGGATCAACCGTTGGTAACGAACCTCTTGTTGAACAAAAGCAATCCAATGCACGTTCGTCTGTGTCGACTCGAGATTGAAACCCTGGAGATGAAAAAGAAGAGGGTTGAGAGACTTCGCACATCGCAGTACAGAGGAGAACCAGCACCAGCCGTACTTACAAACTCCGCAGCATCTGCCTTTCGCAGTTGCACTAGTTCCATTCCACACGGTGTAAGCATAATGGAATCGTTGCATCCTTGTATTACCGCGTCCACACGGTCTCCAACAGATTCTACCTGAATAAAAACGCAAATCGAAGCGATAAGGATTCCAGAGATCAATGGTTACTTACATGGGTCTGAACCTCTTTGAAGTGTGTTGGCAGTTGATTGGCAATCGCTAATTGTGCGGCATTGTTCACCAACAGGGCACGCTCGATCAGGAATTTACGGAGGGAAATCATATCGGGTAATGTGTGAAATGGAGGCCTGCGGGAAGGGGATTGAATAAGAATGGCTTAAAATGACTCACCTGTCCAACCAGAACGCAGCATTCCAAACAGCAGTCATTAAGGTCAAAACGCAGTTTAGAATGTAAGTGACTGCATCCTGCAGATCGTCCAAGATACCGGGATAGACGGCATCTGCGTCTGGATCACGAAAATCCTGGCGCTCGACAATAGAAGTGTGCGCGTTAACTGCAGCAACAATGCTGACACATGCACGACAGACACGGAAAAGTACCATTTGTAATGTCTCATTATCGAAAGCGCAATATTGTGCCTGCAATTGCCTGATGCGGTCCAGTATGATCATCTGATGTCCAACCTTTGTGATACCCAGTCGAATCAGCTCACCAGGGGTAACACAATTAAGCCATTTTCCATTCACGCCCTTGGCCTTGAAGTTATTCACGTAGTCCTCCACAAACCCATCGAGACCTATGGGTAGAAGGGTCAGTTTCGCTGTGAATGACATTGATTACCTCTGAGCCATGAGATGACCTGATCAGTGGACCAGTTAATGTAGGGCACCGGTTTGTTATCCGACACGTCCATTACGTTTCGTTAGCGTTGTCGACTATACTGACAATCAAGTAGGATCTGAAATCATAAGATTGAGAAAATTTAGCAAGGACACAATGGAAACCCACACAGAACAACCCCAACACTCAACCTTCACTGCCTTTGAGATTCAAACATCCCAAGGCTATTTTCGTCAGTGCAGTTTTTCCCTTAATTCCGCTGCAACGAGACTGGACCATGTAGTGGCTTGTGCACCACTACGATCCACTTATATGTACTGGGGATGGAGTCGTTTTGACACCCTCACACTTTCACGACAAGTTGGTCAGTGGATAGAGGGCTGATGAACATGGTCTCTTTGTTCTCTAGGTCGGAAGCTCGAACAGGCACGGCAAGTAGATCCTCGGAACTTGCATTACTGTGGTATTCATAGTATGCCGGTACCCACCCGTGCCTTACGGTCAGGCTTTTGAACCAAAGGGTTTGGTCGAGGATCCTAAGTGTCCACTTGTCATGACAGTATCCCAACCCGCGTACAACTATGTCATAACCGAAAATACTATCATAGCACGTTGGCCGTCGCGTGGTGTCACCAGTCGGGTCACCTTACTTGCGTGTAGCCGAAAACATGCTACTGCTGACGCCTCCCATCTTACCCGTTCAAGCATTCCCCCTGATAAACCAACGAACGGGAAGCTGAATACTCTCTCTAGAGTTCCCAGCACCAAGACCAACCGCTTTGTTGGCCATCCATTTGTAAACTACGGCTTCTGTACGTCCGACCCTAAATACTTCGAAGTCCGCTTTGAAACTCTGAAAGCTGGTCTACCAAGCTGCCTATATTGCTTGCACTCTGAAGCAAGTATGTACGCTGGATTTCCTCTGCACCGATGTATGCTGTCTGTCAGGTACGAGAATACAGGAAGCACACTGTAACTGAACCAACTGCACCTCGCTCTTCCACGGGTTTTGTCTGCGCATCTCTGGGATTGATCTAGAAGTAAATCTTCCTGATAGAGAATGATGTCACACATTTAGCATTCAAATCCAGGGAACAAAAGTATCATCACTCTGACTTACAAACGGCATAGATGGTCAAAATCAGCTAAATATTGGTTGACCGCTGACAATTGCGCGCATTGAAGTGACGGTATTGATTGTAGAGGAGTGCCTATTGATATGGTTAGTGTGTCCTGAGACCAAAATTCAACCAACATATTACCTGTCTCAGACCTCTGTTCATCAGGGAGGGATGGAAGAAGGACAAATGTAACTGTGAAAATCGAGTAATTGTCGTACAGTGATTATAGCTGCCACCGTTTCCTTCGCCGATGATTTGGGGAAGTGGAATAGATAGCTATGCATGGATACGATTATATATATATATATATATATATATATATATATA